TTCAGACACCGAAATTAAGAGAATTAAACTTTATTGCGGTGTTCTATATTATTATTTACTACATAAAGCGGATCGATGCATATTAGGTTCTAATAATCCGTTATTCTAAGCTAGTTATTTACTATGTAAGGTTTGATTTATTGAAATTATGTATAAATCTAATTATGAAAATTATTACTAACTCAAGTTTTTATTTAAAAATAATATAGTGTCTGATCGTCACACTAGAGAGGAAAATGTTTACAGTTATTTCTTTATAGTTTTATTAGAGTTTTATATTTAATTTTTAGTTCAAACGTTGTTAGTCAAATTATATCAAACTAGTGACTTGAACTAAAAATAGGAATGAAATATTTAATTTATCAATTTCCAACTTAATTATCTCATAAATCATTCTTTATAACTCCATTTTTGAATTGAATGGTTCATAACACAATTTTTGAAGCGGTAGAAAAACCCCATAAGAGGGGTTCTTTATCATTCAGTAGTTACTATGCCGAAGTTACTTGTCGTTAAGTTTTAAAATTTCTTCTATGGTTAGAAGACTATTTAAACATTGTCACGTGAAATTCAGATTATTTAATAATTTAATCAGTGTAGGGGTTTCTGGTAGTGTTTCAAGGGTGTTAAAATATTTTCGATTCATTTTTTTGTATATTAGAAGCAGAATTATATCTTTTTGATTTTTTTTTATTAAAATTTTACAGTTATGCAAATAATCAATATGTTTTCATAGACATAATTCATCAGGAGAAAATAAGAGTTTTTTCTTTACCTTTTATACAAGAAAAAGTTATTAGATTTTCTTGAGTCCAGAGTTGGGACAAAAACCATGAATGTTTGTAACATGTCCTCTTGCTTGGAATTCGTGCGAACGCTAATTCTTGTCAGTTCAACTCGACTGTGATCCGTTTTTTTTATTATGTTATGTTCATCCGTTGATTAGTATAGTCAATAGTTACGTCAAGTTTTTTACTGTCATTTAGTAATTGTTGTACCGTATTTTGGTTCATATAATTAATTTTTAACAAAACCCAAATTAATGTTTAAATTTAAGAAAAATTGAAACATTTTAAGATACATTTCTGTACAAAATTTTGCGTGGAAGCCAAAATATAGATAATTATATATTAACGGTAGGGTTTTTGTAATATTTATTGTAAAGTGGATTGATTTATTTTGGGCCTTTACTCTTTGCCATTATATGCAACTATGTTGCAAACTATGTACTTGTAAGTGAACGGTTAGTTGGGTTTATAAAATCTATAACCATAATGCTCTAGCGGATAGATCACCGTAAGTAAGAAGTAATAATTATTCAACCATAAACTCCATAATCTAAATTTTATAATCATATACTATGTACTTTTTTTGAATTTATAGTCTGAATATTTAATTCACTATAAAATACTCCACATACAATGTACATCTATTTAATAATAAACTTATAAATAAGATTATAAAATTATATATTATATATTTATAATATTTTAATATTATAAATAAAATTGAAATTTAATATACAATGTTTGTTTCTTATTGCATATTAATAAAATTGAAATTATAAACAAAAACATAGGTATGAACATTTCAATTTTATATATGTGTTATTAAAGAATATTTTTTTTAGTTTTTAAACATTAAACGCAATAATCAATATTCTCTGTAATGTAATTAATACTTTGAAATAACTTCAAATTCCTTTCATTCACTTTATATTTTTTTATTTAAATGATCAATACTCATTACAATTTTAATAACAATTTTCAAATTTAATTTCAATTATTATATGCTTCTTCTAGTAAATAATATTACTTTTAAAAAAATTAAATTGCTCACGTGAACAATTTTATACTTAAATTTAAAATATACAAACAATATTGAATCATTTCAGTTTGTAAAATGGAATCATTTTAAAAGTAAAGAGTGTGCAATTGCACAATTTGATCTTCCAAATGGCGTCCTTGAATTTGCGACCGGCTGTAAAAAAATGATTTTACAACAATCAATGGGTACAGAAAGTATAACATGTGACAACATAATGAGGTATGAGCGTAAAAAAAAAAAAAACAATGGTACAGCGTTTTTGATAGTGTTGATGAGATACCATCGAACACATGTGGTGCTAAAAGATTTTAAAAGATCAAAGAAAGATGGAATCGTGGCTATTTCGTTCTAGTCAATAATACTCTACGTCCGCCTAACTCGAATACTTAGGACCTACATGGTATACGTTCGGAGCATTGCATTTCGTCGGAGTCAACGCGTTTGCGATCCTGTCAGCAGTGCAATACGGATATGAGAATAAAAACCGGAAGGGAACGGCAGATGTGAGCGCGAAGAGCGCACGTTTTTACGTGAGCGGTGTCTAGACCTTCTGGATGGTCGATGTCGACATATTATTGTTATACCGGGTGGTTCCATTGACGGAATGCGTTCCATGAGCAACAAGTGTCCCGTTGTAATCGGTCGAATGTCGGGAAAGCAGTCCCGTTGCGAACATTTCTCATTACAATCGTCCCTCTTATCCATTGCACCACGAGTCCGGTGACCATAACCACGTTTAACGGGGGGAAAAAGGGGACAGTTGCCCCGGGGTGGCAAATTATATGATGTTTGATAGGACGGCAACTGTTTGAGAATCAACATAAAATAGAAAATATATAATTATAATTCTTTTTGTATGACTGTATGTCATCGTTTTCAATATTAAACATAGAAGATGATCTTTTAAAACGGACCGATTGGTCAGAAATTGTCTACCAGTTTACAACCATCAAATCAAAGAAAAAATCAATATAAAAGAAAGTAGTAAAAAAAGCAATGAACGATTATGTTCTGTTACCTTTGGTAATTTTTTAAATTTATATGTGAAGTATAATTAATAATTATAAAATTTAAATATAAGTAATAATGTAAATATTAATGATTTGTAAATTTATTACTCTTGCAGAGTACACTTCTATATAATTTTGAATTGTAATTTTCTTAAGAGCGGCCATATAGCTTAACGTGCGGTACTTCCGGTGACACGAGATTTATTGACGGATAGGATGGCGGTTCGGGACGGTAAGATACGATACGTACGATTCGGATTTTTAAAACGAATGCAAATATTTTTTTTAACATTTTTTACAAAAAAGTGGAAATGACTATCTTTACCAGGGCTTGAAATCGATTTTAAAATCGATTTCAAATATCGATAAAAATCGTTAAAAATCTTTTAGAAAATCAAAATCGTTAATGGTTGGTAATGATTTTCAAAATATATATTGAAATTGAAAAAAGTTAAAATCGATATTTTATATCAAAATCAAAATCATTTTAATAATTAAAACGATTTTAAATCAAATTAATTTAATAATTAATTATTAATTAAATCAAATTAATTCAACAGCCAACAGGATTATTTATATTGTCAATTCGTAGACTCGTAGATATTGCCATATTTGGTAATAATATTGATTATACATAATAATAATCAACTAGTACCAATTTTGTTTTCTTAGAATTTTTACGATAAGGAATCAGCGTTCGATGAGCGATTGTTGTTTTTGTACACACGATTTATTCCGTATAATATACTCTAAAAAGACATTTTGTAGTGTATTATTATGGATAAGATATTAATTTATAATACTCCATTAGCTGTCACCCGCGAGTTAAACTTTTAACCAATAGTATACAATCAAATAACCTAAAATAGTTTTATTTTGTACTTTTGTAGTTTTGCAAGGCGTCGTCATATTTGACGTGTCATATTATTAGTGTTTCACCAATAATTTAAAACATTGTTCTTATATTTAGTTAAATCATGTCTGAGTCTATGAATAAAAACTTTATTTTACATTTTAATCATTTCACATAGATGTATTCCTAGTTTACTTCATTTTAGCTTTATATTATGTTTTTCCATTTTTAAGGCACTTTAATAATAATTGTATTTGTACGAAATGTTTTATAACATAGGTAATAAAACAATGGATTTAAATATATACATCAGTTCATCAGTAGCTTGTCGCTACTGCCTACAAAACTATTACGCTGATGATGTACTAAAATTTGAGGAATTATTTTAAATCATGGATAACATTTTATTGTGAACCCGAAATCGAAGAAATATAAATACCGATTTTTGAAACCGAAATTGAAAAAAAAAGAATACCGATATTCGAAATCAAAAACGAAATTGCAAAAAATAAATATCAACATTGGAAACCAAAATCGAAGTTTTTTATTTTGTTTCAAGCCCTGATTCTTCACCCCATAAACATTGACTGAAAATACCTCATTCTGAAATATCAAAAAAGATAAATTTTTTTTTGTTGGTAGTTAGTTAAATTAAATTATCAATACAGATTCGTAATCCTCACAAATCACTTGTCATTCAAGTTACACCCAAAGAAAAATGTACGTAATAAAATAAACTTATCTTGAAAAGCGTTTTTCGAACATGATTTTTAACAGAATATATTTGCGGAAAACAATTTAATTTTTAAGGTTTTGATAATAAAATTAATCATTTCACATAGTCAACTGCATTTTAACTATCATAGTTTCGTGGTGACACTCAAGGTGACCACGATTAACCCTTGACCATCGTTCCCCCATTCTCCCATACAGGAACACGGGACGGACGTGTGCGGTGAGAGTACACTTTGTCTCACTTCGGACGGGTTACTACACCGCGAACACACACACACACAAACGTTTTCGGGTTCTGCTCAAACGGTCAAGTAGAAGAACACGCGAAGCGGTCGACTGACGAACGGTGCGCGCAACTGTTGCGGCCGTAAGAAGTGTCGACTGTAACTGTAATCCGCGCACTGTTTTTCCGTCTCTCTCTCTCTCTCTCTCTCTCTCTCTCTCTCTCTCTCTCACTCCATCTCTGTCACGCGCTATTGTCTCGCGGCGACCGCAGCCCGACCGATCGACCGTGACCGCCTCGCACAAGCGCCACCGCCCACCGTTTTCCCTTGTTCTTGCCGCAGGTGATGACGTCGCGGTGTCAACCCGTCCATGTCGTCGTGTCGTATCGTGTCGTCCGCGAGTGCAGCAACCGTGACCGGTGCACCGCCGCCGTCGTCTTCTAACTACCGTCATTCGACTCGACGATGGACGCCGCGACGGTCGCACTGCTGCTGTTGTCCGCGTTCTCGCGCGCGTCCGCCCGCGATGGCCTGTTCGGTTATCCGGACGACGAGCACGTGATCATCACGCACCACGGACCGGTCCGGTACGAGCCGATGACCGCCGGCCAGATGAACAGGCCGTACGACGGCGGCACGGTGGCCGCGGCCGGAGCCTCGTCGGCGTCCGCTCGCGGTTACTACAAGGCCGAGGTGATACCGTTGGACATGAACACGTGGAAACCGGTGCCGGGCGGCTGGGCGGGAAGAGGGCCCGTGGTCGGCGGCGGTAGTGGCCGGGTGGACGCGTTGGACGTGCCGCTCACCGTCGGCTACTCGGTGCGGCCGGCCAAGCCTTTGCGCCGGCGCAGGCACGAATACTTCCCGGACACCGCGGTCGTCCGCGGTCACCGACTTCAACCGTCGCACGGGCGCCGCAACCGTCGTCCCACGCAACCGGTAGCCGTAGAAGCAGGACTATGGAGGTTTTAGATTCCGCAGTCGTCCACCTGCACACGCGCACGCTTTGCGGTAAGTACTTTCCGACGCTACTTGGTACTCGCACTGATAAGCATACATTATCTTAACGCCAGTTCGATAAAACGGTTCGCGGCTGATGTGCGAACTAATTCGCCGGCTACAAGTTTTCGATTAACCGTTATCGTTTCGAACTTCATTCGATCCGATGAAAATTTTTATTATTTAAATTATTATATTAGCTGAGATATTCATGTGCAAAAGATGCGGCAACCTAAACCCAGTACATTTAGTCACTACATTTTTCTATGGTTGTACCCTCGAATCGGGGAAACCGTTCATCGTTCTCATCGTCCAAAGGTATAATTACTGACTCGGATTTCGAATACGGTTATCGAGCTTATTGGTTTTTATGGCCGTGTTTCTTCAACATTTTTTCCCAACGCTATCATATCTTTGAACAGGAGGGTAATCCAGAAAATGTATTGAAATAGTTACCCGACGATTCCATTAACCTAAACTCTTTATGATTTACATTTGGCTTTGAAAATATTTTCAACTTTTTCAGCATTTTTTAGTGGTTTCATAGGAAACAAGTTGCTTATAGTTTCAAGTCACTTAAACGTGGTATCTTTCCTCTATTTTGATCGTATATGATATTTTGAATTTTATTCTTCAAATTTAAGAACAAGATTTGTTTTGTTATTTTATCATGTCACTTATATTTTTGATGAAAACATCGGATTTTACTTATTCATACATTTATAAGCATTTTGCACTGAAATTAACTACTACACAGTAGACGCACTACAAATTATAAATCACACACCACGCAGTACAATGCTCAGATCATTAATAATATATTTATAGTAAATTGTATTTACAATTATGGACAGTGAAGCAGAAATTGTTAGTTTGATTATTTACGATGAATGATCTCGAAAATCATTGAACCGATTCTGACGAAACTTTCATTGTCGATTCTCGTATAATATTTGTATTGTCATCGTCATTTTTTATCTGGGGCGCGCCCGTGTCACCTAAAACAGTAACTATTCCATGGATATATATAAATGGATCTCTGAGAGACTTCGTTACACGTATTTCACGTCTAAATGTGATGGTAGGACAGAAATAAGTAATCTTTTACACATAATGTTTAATGTTGTGTGGTAGATTATTATAATAATGCATTATAATGCATTTTATTTCATTCAATTTTCTTGTGTTGAGATATGGTTTTGTATTCTTGACGATACATACATACGTTTTACGACTTTTTAAAAAAATTTTTTAGTAATACGAAAGAAATTGCAATGCCTTTATGTCGAATTTTGTAAAAGATCCCTCAAATTATTCGACTAATAACGATAGATTTTTTTTTACACATGGAAACGCATAAATATTAAATTAAATTCCTAGGTAGTATTAATTATGTGAAAATAAAATACATTTATCATATTTTTTTTTTTTTTATAATTATTGTAAAGTAATAAATAATAAATTACAACTGTTAAATAATATAATTTATCAATTTTAAATAGTTAAATATTTATCATTAGGTTAAGTCTTCAAGTTCCAACTTATTTATATCTATATGAAAAGTGTATATAATAATAATTATAGTATAGGTATATGCATATAAATAACATTTAATTAATACATGAATTATTAATATAAAGTAGTGCATAGAAAATAGTGGTTTATAATCGGTAGTTTAATTATATTAATTATAACATCGGGTGTGAATTTTGGATAAATCAAATTTATATTTCAATGGAATTAAAATTGTAGGCAGTGAAGTGGGTTATTATTAAACAAATGTATGTATTGCATAAACGATGCCTTATGCAGATTTAATATTTTGAAGTGATGGAGGTAATAAAAACTCCATTAGCCTCAATTAACTTGAGAACAATACATTTTCCTGAGACACTGTATAATATATACTTACTTACTTTATGATTTTAAATGCGTAGAATAGTGCTAACGATATCGAGAGTTAAATTATGTCGTAAAATGTATGTTGAAAATTATCGATACAATTAAATAGTAATTCGAGTTTCGGTGAGATATGCTATTCGAATGCAATAATATAAATATGTAATAATAGAATTGAGATTTTCCATCGTTAAAAAAAAAAAAAAGTTAAATAGCTAAATAGAAAATAATCGCTATAGGACGTTTTTGTAGAAAAACATTATATACAAATGTATTCATCAGATCAACAGTTTTAATTATTTGATAGTTATATAAGAAATAATATATTAGTTTCAATAGTATGAATAATGTTGTGTACCACAGATAGAATTAATGTTTCCGAATGAATATATATATGAAAAACTTATGATTACCTTTTGTTTTTCGTTATATTAAAGAATGGTATCATGGGAGTCTCGAAATTTGATTAATAATACATATATATTTCTCGTAATCATAAGTTTCTTTCTGTAATACTATGCACTCACGGGAATTTTCAGAAACGGATAAAATGATAATCTATTCATCCATTTCATTGAGTTAAGGTTTTGAATATTTTGTAGAATTTAGTACAAATGCGTTTTTAAATTAAAATTATAATTAGTTAAGTATAAATAAGTTTAAGAACTAATTAAATTAGTTAAACTCTGTTTATTTAAGAATAAAACTCATAAATTGTTTAATATAGCGAATTAGTAAAAAATAGACAATTTAATTAATTACAGTTAAGGTAATGTATGATATATTTTTATAATTATTGAAATTTTCATAACTCAAAAATCTACAAAATACAATTATAGTGTTGTCAATAAATAATTAGTTCTAATGTTTATTAAATAAGTTAGAATTTAAGTTAAAGAAATTAATTAATAATAATTGATTGTCCTAAATTTTGTAATTTAAACTAATATAAGAAATTAAACATTGTATTTTGTATTCAAAACAAAAAAAAAAAAAAAATGGTTTTTTTATTTGAATATAAAACAATTCTAAAATATTTTGAAAGTGCAAATAAAGACCGATTTTGCATGTATGATGCACAACTAATCGAATAGAAATGATTATATACGTAGCTAAGCGTACGCTCTGGGATATAATGTTATTAGTGAATAAATAATACAATAACAGAACAATTCTTATTAGTCAACATCAAAGAGACATTGATTTTTCATACTTATAAAATAAAACAGGATTTAATGTCGGTTAGAGTTACAAAATTGAACTTAGTAATTAACATAATTATTTCTGTATGTAATCTGGTTACGCATTTATGACAAACTGGAATTAATTTGAAACAGAACAATTCAGTAGGTAGATAAATTTATCTATTACGATAAATCTTTCAAAAAGCAATAATTAAACAGATTTTAAAGTTTAATCTTAATTTAGACTCCAGTGTGTAATATGTTAGGATTATAAAATAATTGAAATATGCAATAATTTGCTTATTGTTATTAGTTAACATTATTTTATTGCAACATATAATTTTAAGATCAATTTTTATTCAAATTTAAGATATTTTAATTCATATTAATGAATTTTCGTTACTGTGCGTGAGATTTATTTATTATTTAGTTTTTATAATTTCAGGAAATATGGATATCAAAAAAATTAGAATCTAAATTACTGTCTTCCTGATTTTCTCTTTTTTCATACTATTTTCATTTCTAGCAATTTTTAGGTTTTATACGAATGAAAATTATAGAATAGCATGTTTTTTTTTTTTTTTTTTAATTTGTATATTTTTTTTATTTCTACGTTTTAGCCTACATATTATAAATTGCTATTGCGATTTTAAAATAATCGATAACTCTTGATCCTTTTTCCATTTTGCGATTAGCTCTTTCTTTTTAAATAAAGTAAACATCTAAGCAGTATCACTGAATTTCTTGATGATCCCGTTGGATCTCCAATACAATTTAAAATGTAAGCTGATATTTTTGTTTTTCAAATCTAGTTATTTGTTTAATGGTATATTTAAAAATGTTTTTTGAGTATCAAACAGATAATGTTTTCGAGTTCCTACTTAATTAGTGGATTAATACTGTGTTTTACTACGTTTATATGATTAATAAATAGTTTTGTTTTAGTAAAAGAAATAAATAAAATAGGGGTTCCTAGTTATGTAATAAAATTAATAAGAACATAAGCGGCTCTGATCAATGTAATTACCGTTTGAACAATTTTAAAATAATTTACAGAGTAAAATGAAACAGACAAAATAAAAATGTTTGTTTTTCATATTTTATTTATATTTTTAAATATACTATTAATTTTTTTAGTATTTACTATAGCACAATATAAGAATTGCACAAATGAAAATTAATTTTAATTTATTTTTATGTGATATTTTAGTATACAAATATTGTGAAATATTATAGTAATATTTTAAATATAAGATTCTTATGAAATATCTAAAATTATTAATATTACTTTTTAGAATAGCTTAAAATAATCTTTAATAGCAAGTAGATGATTTAAGTATAATATAGGTATGTAAATAACAGATAAATATAATTTATTAAAAGGATATCTCTGGACGGATAGAGATTGATATATATCAAATAATTTTTTAAAGATGACAGAAAATAATTTACAAAAGTATTATTATTGGAATGACAAATAAGAAATGAAAGAACGACTTTGAAAAAAATTGAATATAAATATGATTAATGGTATCGGAAAAAAATTAAATTATTGTAGAGAAAGCTAAATTTACCGACCCAAGTGTAATCGATTAATGTAAAAAACGAAAATAATAATAACAATCACATTCAGTTAAATAGTAAATATGTATATATATATACATTTATTTATTTGGTAAATTGATTGAAAGTAACATAAATTGATAGCTACTGAAACTGAATAAATTAATAAAAATAAAAGTCGATATATGTATTGAAAATGAAAAATAAAACTTTTGAAAGATCAAACAAAATCTTATCTGTATTATGATAGTAAATAAAATAATAATTATGTATTTTACGAAACGGATTAGTCGATCGGTATAATATTTTTATTATAAAACTAATAAGCCGGTAAGACTTCCGTTATTGTTTATGCACTGTATATGAGTGTTATTTGACGGTGTTTCTACGGTTTATAATAAAAATCTATTTTGTACCAGCTCGCTGCTGCAATATTAATAACGTCTATTAATTATTAATCTTATTCAAAACTATCGCTTAACCGGAGAGCACTTGTATATGTATGCTTTCGCTTTACCGCGCGTAATATTATAATGGGAACATGTAATACCACACGTGAATATATACGTATATGGTATGCGCAAAACACCTAAATACGAATAATTTCGATTGGTTTTATCTTATCATAATGTACGCGAATACAGTATGCATGCATATGTCATGCACGTATTTGCTGTATTTAAAATTTTTATCTATTCAATATCGTATTATTTTGAGGAATATTATTACTTGGACGTTTTACTTACGTACTTACGACTTACGCACATTGATTTTATACTATGGGTACACTTACGCGCCATTGTATTGTTAAAATTAGTAACGTAGACATGAACACAGCCACTGGACATCGCTGTGATTATTTGTATTCCACTTGGTACAAGGAGACAATTTAACAATGGAAATAAAAATTGCAGTATTTATGTTTTCTATTGTTGAAAACCTGTTTCTATTGAGTAGCACGCGAATAGTGACGTCAGTGGCTGCGGCCACATGGTCGTTACCAATTTTAATAACAACGCGGCATATATTTGAGTTATGTAAAATCAACGATTGCAATATCCAATCGCTGAAACGTAAGACTTGATATTTTTTTTTCTAAAGTGTTTACCATCAATTTAAATAAATGTAAAAGTATAAACATTTGTGTTCTAAACACGTTTTGGTGTACAGATAACTCAATAATAAAATACATACTCCAATGGTTTAGATTTACATCTAAATAAATAGGATACATGTAGGTAGAAATAAATAAATAAATAGGTAAATGTGTAATCTGAATTATTATGATATGTGTGTTTTACGGTCGGTTTAGAATTAAAAATCTATCGTCAGGTAATTCATAAAGTCAAATAAATCACGGCTGAATATAAAAAAATAAACGAAAGAATATATTGAGAAAAAATGGTCGTTTTATATAAAGATAATTAATTTAAAATGAGAGATTATTCAAAATAAGTTCTTATTAGACATAAATATGTCAAGAAATATAAATTATTTGGTTATTATTTATTCGTATTATAATCTAAAATGTATTGATATAAGATATTTTTTTTTTTAAAAATCAGCTTTTAGATTTAAAATATTATTAAAATAATTTAATTTGTATTTCACTGTGTAAGCATAACTTTTATAAAACTTAATCAATATAAATTTTATTTTGAATATTTAATATTTCTAAGTCTGTATCGACATTTATATACTTATATCTGTATTTCTACATATATACTATATGCAGGTCCGTACCTACGGGGATGCGAGAGGTTTGTGTGCACCGGGTGCCATGATCACTAGGGCACCAAAAGTTTTTTCATAATCATGTTACTGAAAGTCAACCATATTATTTAACTCATAAGTTATAAGTCATAAAATTTAACACGTTTCACACGTTTAACGCCATAGTCTCGACGCGTAATCGACATAATTTACATTGTCCAATCAGGACACCAATCAGGTGGTGTGACTAGTTTAATTTTATTATTGGTGTTTATTTTTTCCCTTAATGATAACTTCTTCAATAGAAAATTAACAATAATATACCATTTATACTCTATTATTATTGTTATTGATATAATTAATTTAATACGAGCATTAATAACATAAACGAAGATCGATTTGAACGATTTTATATTGAAAATATCTATGATAATATTCTTCTTATAGCTTATAGGTATACAAATATTTGATAGAGGGGTTGGGGCGCTAAAAATGATTCATGGCACCGGGTGCTAATTATGCTAGACTGCTAGACACGGCGCTGACTATATATTATTTGAAATAATATGTATCATTATTGTTATTGCATTGTTATTCGATGTATTGGTTTCGGTGTTGTTTCAGTTGACATAATATGTGCCAAATTGTAAAATCAATGATTATTTTTATGGATAATAATGTTATTAATATTTTATCGACATAAATTTACTAAAATATCATGCATTAGCATTTGGTTAACGTCTTATTTCGTTGATAAATCATTTTTTGAGTCATAAATATAGCATAATTTAATTTTAAAAATTATTGCATAGTGTATTTTATTGCTCTCTGTGTTATTTGGTATTATTAATTGCACTTCGAAGTGAAATGTATTTATAACTATTTATACAAATGTATTGTATATATTTTATTTACAACTGTCTCAAATAAATTAGCTCTATTTTTATGTTGTCTTTGAAAATAGTATAATTTATTGTCATTATTAATTTCACTTTTATTAATTTAAATATTTTCATGTTTAGGTTATTTAAAGGAAGGATGCAGTTGCCTGAAGGAGACAAAAGAATTATAAGTATCACGTGGGTATAATATGTATATGCTAATTATATGTAGATAAAACCATTTTACATATTTGCTATATTTACTGACAAAGTAAATAATATTTAGTGGAACAATGTATTAATTATTATTGTCCAATATTGTTGCTCTGATTTTCAAATTAAAAATGTTTTTATAATAAATCGTGGTATTTTTTTCTCATAGAAAATAGGTTTTTTCAATAAAAATAAAAGTAATTTTGTTTACAAAAAATATTATAAAAATGCAATGATGATAATATTTCAACATTACACTTGACGAAAAACATCATTTAAATACATGTAACAATATCAGCATAAGTGCTATTTAAAACTATTTATGATATAAATAAAATTATTGCTATTTTAAGTAGTTCAATGTTATAACTGTTAATTATTTTTAATGCATTTAAATTAGTTTTACTTTTTGTAGAACGAGTGATAAAGATAATAATTTGAAGAAGAAAAAATTTTGATAAATTATTCTTGATTATTGCGTTATTGTTTTATACGTAGAAATTTACAATATTTTATTGATACTATTTTTTATGTGGTTATTTATTTGATTTTTATTGTATAAATTACACGTGTTAATCGAAAAGAAAAATTGTTTATTATTTTTATTATCTATTTGACCTGATTTTAGTTATACGTGTATCTCGAAATGTTTGTAGATGACTTTACATGTACTTACATACATCGTTTATAAAATAAGCATACGTTTGTAATATATAAATTATTATTACTAATAAATGAATAAGACAAAATAGCCAAAACGATTGTTTCAAATAAATCAATGAAATAATGTATATAGCTATTATAAATATTACTCAGATAAATTGAAAATTATAATTATTGCGTACCAAGTAAGAAATAATTGTAAATTTTAAAATTAACAATATGTGCAGATTATCATATCGAAATAAAAGTACAATATAAATATTATGTTCTAACTGCATTTTCTTAAAGAAAAAAAAAAAGAAAGATACTATCATCAAAAACAATTTTGTAAAACTATAAAGTAGTAGTGAAAGGTGTCGTACCGCCTATCCGAGTAAGTTCAATCGCTAACGAAATGGTCATCGAAAATTGTAAGTACCTTTGTATAAAATAGTTGGCATTGCTGTAGCCTGTAGGTCTGTTTAAATTACCATCACAGTTGGATCCTTATCTCATCAAGATTCCTATTGCTACAAATGTGGTATCTAACAATGGGATCTAATTCAAATAGCTGTCCCTTTGCAAAAAACAAAATATTGTGATTGTTTATACCAGTGGTTTTCAGTATTTATTTGTTTGCGGAATAACAGCCATTACAATATTATTTATAAAAAAAATAAAAAAATAAAATTAAAACAAAAATTATAAAATTAAGTAATAATATTTAGAAAACGAAAATTAAGTTCTGGGACTGTTTACTTTTTAATTTTAAATAATAATACTATACATATGTATTATACTAGTATGTTGTGGTACACCAGTTGAGCTAAAATAATCAAGATTCAGTTCTCAAAACCAAGGTACCAGAATTTTCGGAAATAAAAATACACAAGAACTGTTACATATCTATAATTTTCATTTTTATGTTTACGTAAAAAGTTTAAATTGTATGACCACAGAATTTGGATGAAAGATAAATATTTATTGTTGAAAATGCTTCTGATATTCAAACAACAGTATGTGCATAATATATTAAATTGACTTAGCTAAAGATTTGATGACTCAATTGTTTCGATACAAAAATCAGGTTCATAAAAAAAAAAAAAAAACACAGAAAAAGTAAAAATACTACACATTGATAGTATATACACACGACTAGTGTCCGTCGTTCGGTTTCTTTTTTTATATTGATACTTCAGTAATGAAATCGATTTTAGTTCGAAAGCGATAATAAATCATCACATTCAGATGATTCTAGGTAATTAAATATCTAAATCACGTACCTATATATTATTTATATTGAATTTCTTGAAGATTTAAAAGCAAGAAAAAAAATCAATCGGTTATATTTGTTAAATAATTAATTTTTTTCTTTCATAAATAAAAAAACCTCTTTATAAAAAAACCTTCTGATTTCCATATTTAAAAAAATTCGAAAAATTCCATGGATACCAAATTTAAATTAAATTTATATTATAATAATTTAGTTTAAAAGAGGTGAAACAACATATCAGTTTATATAGAAAAAAACTATAAAAGTATAATATGTCATTGGATCTTAAATTTGTCATTTGATTACATCATCATGTTCATGAATATAATCGTCTGATCAATACTACTATCTTAAACTATATTATTCTTTTATTACTAAATAATAAATTATTTTATTCTAAGATTTATCATTTTAAATAAATTAAAAATGTATTTTGATTGATAAAATATTCAATAATAAATAATTTTAATTTATTTATTTTGTTTGTACTTTCTTTTATAAAAAATACTGGGCCTCTCTGAGAAACATCGTTTGGAGGATATCCAGAGTTATAACAACAATTGTTATAATTAAAAAAAAAAAAAAAAATACACTCAATTATCGAATCTCAAACAACATAAAAACCATAAAAACTATATAATAATAATAGGTTAGTGATAGATCTCGTTATTGTTTTCGGTAATTATATAATCATGATGAGATTCTACGTGAAATTACGTATACATCATTTACGTAGATAGTTGAATTTAAAGTAAACATTATAAAATATAAAAAACCAAGTTATCTTTAGAATAATAAAATCATAAAATGCAAATTAATAAAGCTAAAGTACTAATAATGTAGGTATAATGTGATAACCACTTAATAATTTTAATCTCAAACGTAACGATCATCGAAAACTTTTTTTTATTTTAATTTATAAAACCGTCTTTGTGGGTCTATTTAATTTACATTTTAGCAATTAAAAATCATCCATATTATTTTATTTTTATTTGATAAAAAATGTTTACTCAGTGACATAACTTATCGTAACGCGTTGGAATAACCTTTTCTAACTCATCATATTCTTTGTTTAGCGTGATTAATGAGTAATACAGCAAAGTTGAATCAGTGGTCTTCTTAGTGATCCGGATTAGTATTGTGTCGGATCGCAGATTTATATGACTAAAAAAAAAAAAGATTAATTTTTCGTATCATAAAATGAAATCATTTTTGAAATCTAAAACATCATCTACAACGTCAGTGTGCATCAATAAAGTCAGTTAAATTTTTATTTATTCAACTGTACTTAACATGTTTTCTTGTACAAATATAATATTAATCATGACGAAAAAGTTAATTCGATAGATTACAATGTAATACCTATAAGATACAATAAAGCAAGAATATGGATAGAGAATATAAATAGAATATGGAATATGGAATATTTGAACACAATAAACGAAATTTAACTTAAACACAGTCAGAAACCGTGCAAGCTATAGACTGGTGAGTGCTCGTAGGGATGAGTGTACTCGAACTTGGTATCAGAGGACCCGGCCAGTGTACGACCTAAGTCAATCTGGGACAAAAAACTAGTGCACTGTCTTCTACTGCGTTAGAGGTTTAATCGGGATGAACCATCCGGGGGACACACGGTACCAGTGCTATAGCAACGGGGTTGTGAGAGGTACCTACGCCCTGGGCGCAATTCCTGCGAGAGCGCAAAAATTAAAATCTTGCATTTAATGTTAAAAATAACATCGGCCAATGTCATATATTTTGTTTACAAAATCCTTAACATCCTTCATATTAATTAAAGCGACCATTGAAAATAATATCTAACAAGCATAATATTTTTGAATTAAAAATACATAAGGCCGAATTTTGAAGTTTCGCTCTGGACGCAATGTTTGGTTAGTCACTGCTCGGCACCAGCGGTGGTGGTGGCCCCTCGTTTGCTGTTGGACCCAAACCGTGAGCACGCCGTGTCAGAAATTTGTTCCCGTCATACCATATTCGACTGATGCTGCGCACAGACTTTCTCACTCGTCGCACGGCTACGACGTGGATCCGATGCAACGGGGGATCTTACCCTAACCACGTTGTCTTTATGTGATATGGGATTGACCCCGAAGTCGGGGCACGTCTTTGGCGTGCACGAAACCGTCTCAAAATACATGACTCTGGCCAGGTGCGCAAGTCAAATAATCCAGTTGCGATCCTTCCTCCTCTCTACTCATTTGTAGATCGTACGTCCGACCGCAAGCGCGTTTGATGTATAATTATTTCACGGCCATTTCTAAGGATGAGCGACGTTGTTCGTCAGATTGGACTTAACGGTGACAACAGCGGGAAACGAACTCCTTCGGAACTGCAAACAAGATATCAAATTTCTGGACTTGTACATGGTGTCAGGATGTTTATACATTAAAAAGTGGCTAAGCGTGCACGAAAAAATTAAAAAAATATGGACACAAATAGTGCAATAAAAAGAGAACCGAATTTATTTACTAGCGCTTAGTGTCACACGTATATTATATACGATGTATTCGGTGCTTTGTTTTTTGTTACGATTATTTATGAATTTTGAGGGTAAAAATCGCATTATTTGGGAAAACGATCCTATGTTGAAAAACTAAAAGTAGTTTATCCAGTCATAGTTCAGACCAGCGTTGTCCAACATAGATGGTATAGAATCTAGAAGCTAAGATTGTATTTTGAAATTTGATGAAATTAACTTATTGGTTCGATAAATATAATTGAGATAGTAATTTAGGCTAAAAAATAGTTTAGGCAATGTGACATCATTAATGATAAAAAAAAAAAAAAATACGTAAAAATAAAAATCATGGTATAAAAACTAGCTATCAATAAGAGACAATAGCAGAGATATTTAAGGACGTAGAGCGGAACGTTTGTCGAGTCGTCTCCTTGCACATCAAGGCGGACTGAACGGTTTATTAGAGCATTAATTTTACCATCAAAATCACATTGTTTGGGACATTTCACTTCTGAAAAAAACAGGTGATATAGTGGAAGTTGTGTCATCGTTGATTTTGATAAGCCTAAAAAAATTATCCGTCCAAGAGACAAATTAAAATATGTAACGAAGATTTATCGAAGAAATGGGATTACCTGTATTTTATTTTTAAGCAGTGAAGTTAATTATTGTAAGTACTTAACTGTTTATAATCTTTCGATTATTATCGAAACTTATTGTGGTTTAATAATGCATGTTTTAATAAAAAAAAAACATATTTATATTTCAACACATTTTAACTAAATTTGTACTAGTACTATAGTATATATATATATATATATATATATATATATATATATATATATTATAGTGGATTAAACTAAGTTAGATTTTACTGTATTAACGAATTAATCCATTCATCTTCAATACTCTATCTTGGTCATGAATTACATATGACAAAGAATTTTATGAAATAAATGATTTTTTTCATGTTTGAAATATATACAATTTCATTTAAAAGTTGTTACTAGAAACTTAAGTAATTTTAATACCAATAGAAATAAGAGGAATATATTAAAAATAAAAATTTATACATTGCATTAAAATAAAGACATATTTATTAATTTGATAAAAATCTTAAAGATTCGATTTATAAAAATCATATTTTATTAATAATTTAAAGTTAAAAGCATTTCATTGAACAAAAATAAAAGTAGTTACAATAATTTATATAAAATATGAAGTGAACATTTTTTTTGCAAAATATATAATTTATTTTTATTATTTTTAATTAATTTCTACTTTAAAACACAAAAAAATCTGAAAAAAAAAATGATTGCCATATTCGGCATTTGTTTTGTTTGATTACACTAGTTATAATTAAATTCAGCTAAATGGACTATAGTTTCTGATAAACTTCGGCCAAACTGTAACCAACCAAATCTTTTTATCACGTTTTAGGTTTAATTTAGTGTATAGAAATTGTAAATTTATGATGAAATTCAAGTACAAAAAATAAAATAAAATATTTAGAAACAGCTATAATTGATTATTTTTGAATAATGCGTTGTTTTAAAAATAAGCAATTTTCATTATTATTAATAGTGGAGTGTTTACATAAAAATAAATCTATATAGGATTTTGATAATATCTTGTACATTTATCATTATCATAAACAGTTTAAACTTTTTATTCAGAACCAATGTTTCTCCCATTAAATTCTTCCAGTGCTTCTTTTGTATACTACTAAATAGCACTCCGGCTGTTATCCTTTAGATTTTTTATTTTTGAATCAATCTATCTGGATTATGAAACGTTCAAATCACATTATTTTCATAACTAAAACAAAGTTTTATTTATCTGTCTAATAGTGTTCAAAGCGTCTTCATTGGTTTATTTTTATACGTTCAATATAAACGTCAGCGTTCTTAATTTTATCTATCATTAAACAATTGTGAACCTTTAAAAATTTAGAAAAATAGAAGTGTATTTAATATACAGAAAATATTTGATTTATATAGTTAGATATCTAATTCGTATTAATATTGAATTCAACTATCGATACAAATATTGTTTGTGTATCGATTTGTATTAATTTTGTGTTTTAAATTATCTTATTATTCAGATATTTTAAACCATTTATTTTTCTAAAGAAACTACTGAACACACTTAACTTAGTTAAATAAGATATTTATTTATTTTTTTAGCGATTCAAATATGCATTTAGATTCTTTTTCGTTGATATACAAAACCCATTATTTCACAGAATAGCAGGAGAGCAAAAATTGTTTGAATAATTTCTTCGGGTATCCTCCAAGAATAAAAATATTATTAGCATATTCATGGCCATCATTCAGTTCCATTTTTGATTTTCACTTAAATACCTAACCTTCTCAAGATAATTTAGGTTAAAATAGTTGACGATAATGGATTTCTTTTGTTGACAGCATTTAATTTAACTTTAAAATATGTTATACATACCAAGGAAAAATTGGTTTTATGACTGTAGGTTTTATGGTTTCACAAGAAATATGAATAATTTTGTAGTTAAAAATAATGTGACATTAAAATTATACGCAGTTATTACTTTATACTTATTATTATATAAAAGAAAATAAATATGAAATTGATACATTTTTGGAAATACTTACACCACTATTATAACTATAATAAATACATTTTTTAAATTTATGAATCAGCATATACAATTTTGAATAAATTTATAATTTTTAATTGTTTGACCAGTTACTATTGTTTTGTAATTTTAAAATATAGACACAATAATTTACAGATAATAATGATTTTTTTTTTTTTCATAAGGTTATAGAGTTTTTATTAGCTTTCACAAAATATTGATAAGTGTAGTTCACGTGTATATTTATGTACGTGATGCGCATGTTAATCACTTTATAGTTATATATATCATACTCAATATTCCATTAGCAAATATTTTTTTTAAGATAAAGTTTAGTTGGCTAAAAGAATGTTCATAGTCATTGTGCTTATCCACTCGAAATAGATGAGATAACTATGAGTTAGGTACTGACAATTATTGACTTGTAGATCTGAACAATAACACAAATGAGTACAATTAATGGTTTATGCGTGTTTTTATTATCTAGGGTTGATGTTTTTGGTTTTTTGTACAATGCAATGATTTTATTCCAAATATAAATTTTAGACTTTGATTGAAAAGAGTCAATTTTGTAATAATAAAATTGGTATATTTTGAATAAAATAATAACTCTATTTGTGTATATAGAACAAGATTTTAATATATTGTAATCAGCTAATTCTTTTGAGTTTCAAATGTTTGGTTTGATCGATTTGTTATTTTTGATTTAAGAATGTAATAAATATTCATGTTTAATAAATAACTAATATCTCGATGATAATATGGATAATTTTAAAATGTTTGAAAGTGCGAATAATTTTCAAATAAATTATATTATTCTATAGGTATACTCTGTAAAGATGGTCAGTATAATAATATTAGTAATATGAATATTTTTTCAATTGAATAGAAATAAATGAGGTGTTTAGTACATAATAAATGAAGAATACGTAGCAAATAAGTAAATGAATAATTTAGAACAATACATAATAATTTATTATGTATTATTTTCTACGAAGAGATGGATTACTATAAACGTATAATTAAATTATGATATTTTTTTATTACTTTATTTTAACATCAACAACAAGGTTATTATGTAATATTATAAGATAGTGTAGCTGAACATAATTTTAATATAATTAGCTGCTTCTGAATTTACTGACATTAGATAGAAAGTCACTTAAATATGATATTTTTATTATACTTTTTCTTAAATAATAAGATATATATTTTATTAACAAAAAAAAAAATTAATTTGAAATTGATATTATATTTTTTAAAAAAAGTGTAAAACATATTTTTTGACTCTTATTTTTCAATCAAATGTATTATATATTTCGATTATAAAATTTAAATGTTGAACTAATTAACAATAAATAATTATAACATTATTATAGTTTCATTAAAATATATTCATATTTGGAGGTTTTTTTTTGTTATATTAAAAACTAAAATGTTTATCTATGAAAATTGTTACTTTTTATTTTAATTCTATATTGACTTAGATGAACTGACTGGTGTTAGAAACAATTTAGAATCCTTGCTTGTCATTAATTATTTAAAAATAATCAAGTATTTATAAATAGGGTGTCTCTTTTTTAAAGTGAACATTTTGTTTGGTCTTTTAAGATAATACAAATAGCATTATTTTATAAAAATGAAAATCCATACATTATATTATAAAATTAATATTTAATTTTATAGGTTTAATTATTAATGGTATACAAGTTCATTTTTATCACAGTGATATTGACAGAGAAAACCTCAATTTTTTGTTTTGTATTCTGGAACAGAATCATTTTATTAGTCAATATTAATTATTGATTATTGAATAATATATTAAATGAGTTTTTACTTATGTGTTTTACGGTATCCTAATGATATTATATTAGAGAATAATATGACATTGTTATTTAACTAGTGTATCATTATATCATAATAAAGTAAAATTTATACAATGTGTTATTTCAATAACAATAATTCTTGTCAGTAGTGTCACATGCATCAAAGACGGGTGGTGACATTTCTACAGTATTGATTATAAACACTAAACAATTAATGTTATATGAAATTGTTATTGAGATGAGATATTCGATATACCTAAGTATAAAATAATCTGTCTAGAAGGTAAGAAAATGCAAGTATTAGCCAACCACAATGATGTTAAGGAATATTAGAATTAAAAATAAGGATCAAGTCATTTTCTGGTGTAAAAATTGTATTTATTATAACAAAGTTTATTGTATTCTATGTTATCAATTTTTATGAGTGTTTATTTATTTATAATGTTGTATTTTCCAAAAAAACTAATTTTTTTAAAAAAAAATAGAGCACACAACATCAAAAAAAATTTTCTTTTGCACAGTTGATTATAATTAGTGATGGGCAATGATATAATTTTGTACATTACTATTGTTTAGATTTTTCCGATATTGAATTGTAAATTGTACGATATTTGATACGATAAATCGTATCAAAAATATTGAAAATACAAATTTTATGTATAACCTACTTTTTAATTATTACTTTTTAATAGCTATTTATTGATAAATTTGCTTTATCTAGATAATTAAAGATCAGTAAAAACTAATTATATTCAGAAAAATAAATATAGAAACAATATGAATTTTATAAAAAATTAAAACTATTATTATTAAAAATAGGTTTTCAAATAATTAATATATTAATCTTCAAACCCGATAGCTGTATTCTAGTTAATAAATTCATGACTATTGCACTATTATTGTCAATCAAACACAAAAATGTATTTAGATTACTTACGAAATTTTGGCTGGCACTACATGGCGTGTAAATTTTGTTTTAACTCTCTGATAAACGCGAACGAGAGGCACGCAAATAATGTTATAGGCGCGAATGTTGTGCAGTAGATCCTTAAATTGGGTGACGTAATCCTTTTTCGGGATCCTTTCCGTACGACAACGTGCGCTCGCGACGCCACCGTGGCGTCCGCGGGACTGTGTCATAGATAAAAACCGAATATACACATGCCTATATAAACGAATTACATTTCAAGATTAGAACATTCAACATTTGAATGCGTTACGTGTGCGCGGACTTTTTCTCGACATTATGATAATTTACTATTAATCGTTGTCCGTCTGTACGTCTTGTCATTCGTGTAATTCGTCTGTAATATCATTATAGCCCATCGGTTAAGACGAATAAACAAGGATAAAATAAAAATAAAATAAAAATATTACAACACGTTTAGCATTAAATAATTATAATTTAAATTACTCATCAGCCGTGTTCAATAGGAATAACACGTGTATTAATAATACCTGTGTCAACCATCGACAGTGTATACGTGTTGTTGTATCTGCGAATTTAATAATATGTATCTGGATCGGCGACGCAGCAATCGCTATTGGGTAATCGTGTGCATCCTTTTTGCGACTTGGGACTTAATCATCTGCACGCCCGTCACTACGTTTACCAGAGGTAATCATTATCATCCATTATGTCCGTAAATATTGAAATGAAGTTATAATATTGCATAATTTACTAACATATTTTTATGGTAAAAGTCAGTTTTTAATTTTCGGCAATAACACAATAAAATATACAGTTACTTATTACGTACAATGTAATGTGAAGATAATATAGTTTATAATATTTAACCGATTTAATAATGTTATATGAATTTGTTTTTTGCTTATTTATATTGAAAACATTAAGTTTCAATGTATGGCTTATCTGTGATTTGAAAGATACATATGTAAATGTACAATTTTTTATAATTATTTTCACAATGTCGTATTTTAAGTATTCAGAACTATATTTGTTGTTTTTGGTCAACATTTGTTTCGAAATACTTCATAATAGAGTTTTGTTTTATTACAGTTTTTATGAATTCAAACTTAACTACATTAAGTGTTAAGCACTATAAAGTGTAATGTATTCAAAACATTTCTATAAACAAAATATTGTCAGCATTATTCGAAGTATGAATTTTACTATTTTATTGCCTGGAAATAATGCAAACATTTTTTTTTCACTCACGAAGCATTTCTTTGGCTAATATTCTAATAATATATGAATATAAAATATGGCATTTTTCTGTACCAAACGTGCAACCTTATTATAAAATTAATACTTCTTTTCAATTTTGATTCCAAAAAGAATAATGTATTATTTGCATACATTTTTTCTATTACAAAAATATGTTTTTCATAAAAACATAATTATATTCTGTAAATTCTATAATTTCTATATCTTCTTTCAATACCATTAAGTTTTGATTATCCACTGAATCAGTACTTTTAGGATCTTAATCTAATTTTATATTTTGACGTGTGCCGTAGTTTATAATTTAAAGTTCATATTCAATCATAGAAATTTTAATTTCTTAATAATCAAGAATTTGTTATTTCTAACATATTTTGACTGTTGATATGTGATTTAAAATTATTAAACTTTACATGTTATTAATTTCAAACATTTAATAAAATTGCCTATATAAAACTCCTTTAAGTTAAAACTTATTTTTTATTTGCCTTTCATATTTTTAGTTCTATCAACTATTTAATTTAAATAAATAAACTTTTAATAAAATAGTATTTACAAGACATGCATTTATGTAATTTTAATAAACTCATTGTCTAACTTTAATTTGCTTACTTTAGATCATAATTTTCGGGTTATGAATATGAAATATTTTACTTGAAATTTTCACTTTTAACTATTTAAATCTTGAAACTTTCATCCTTTTAGAAATATTTTTTTTTTAAAGAACTTTACTAAGAATTAATAAGGATAAATCATTTATAATTTATAATCTACTATGTTTTTTTGTGAAAAAATTCCTTTTTGAAGTACTGATTATTTACTTAAATAAAATAAACATTATTTTGTATCAAAATATGATTTGATTTTCCTTTGATGTTTACAAATAATATTGTTAGTAGATATTTATTAATGATAATAAATAAATAAATAGGATGTTTTTGCTATAAGTTATAATTTATAAATTATGATAATAATTATACTATTGTATTTAAATTTAAAAAGCCATAATATATATAGAAAAAAAATAGTGATAAATATAAAACAATTAATAAATAAAAAATAAAATAATAATAATCATAATGTTCATAACCGAAGACATTATTTTATTGAACACTTATTTATAATTATACATTATTATTATATATTATTAATAATTATAGAATATTAATTATACATGAGTTATGAAATGTTTATAAGTTCTGAAGCTTTATTTTTATTTTTAAATAAATTACTATGTAATTTGTATAAGTATTGTGTAATAAAATTTACACATCATTTTCTACTTAGGCAATTAGATATTTATTACGTGTCTCATAATTTTATTTTTACTTTCATCAAAATGAAAACTTTCGTAAAAATTTTATGAAATATTTAAAAAAAATCAATTTCATGAAATTATAAAACCTTAATTCTAATTCTATATGCAAACTTTTATAATATAAAATAAATATATAATTGCATAGCAATTACAATATTACAACAATATCGTCTAATAAGTGATATTTTTACGCTAATTGTATATTTTCTGCTTGAAGGTATATATTTTAAAAATTAGATTTTTAACAAATTTCTTTTATAGTTACATATTATTGCATTTATCTTGTACGATCAATAATTTGATATTATATTCATAAAAATGTTGCATTTTTCGAAATAATAGTAATTTTTACCGTTTAGTTATCAATTAAAATATGGGTTAAAATGTATTGAGTTTTTAAAATGTTACTATTCGAAACTATTAAATGATTTATCTATAAACATGTACATGAACCAATCACAATTCATTGATTATATTTATTATTACGTACTAAGTAGAACTACTAAATTTTTCAATCCGTTAAAGCTTTAATTCGTGTTAAAATGTTGAAAATATGAATGATAGTTGCATTAAACAATACAATAATAATATATGATTTAATTTACTAATTTATTATCTTATATTTTTAATTAAATATGATAATATAATTACGCACTAATATTAAATGAAAATGTTTAATCGAAACAATGTTTCCCTCGATTTAAATAATGAAGACGGTTATATAACTGTCTTCATGATTTAAATATAAAACTATATGGTTTTAGTAAAAAATAATAGATAAATAATGTGATTAAATTAAAATGTATACATAAGTCGTGAAGGTAGATTAATTTTATTGCATGATAATTTTATAAAATAATTTAAAACAATAAATATATTCTATACCTATGCTACTAATTATGGCTGTGTCCATAATTGCCCAGGTATATTTACATTCACATACACCTAATACTTTAACTTCAATGTCATCCATCATGTGCATAGTAATCAATATTTACATATTTTCAGTAATATGTTGACAATTGTTTTTTTTTTGTTTTATATGTGGATTAAATGTGCATAATGATATAATTTTGCAGTATATCATTTTATAATAATTATTGTACATTTTCATAGTACATAATTTTTTAAATATTTCGTCATTATATGGCCGTAAAAGAAATTATAATCGTTAGTAATACATAATAATTATATAAACGTTTATTGAATACCTCATAACATGGCTGTCGGAAAACATTTGTGTAGCACATTATATTTTAAATATAATAAGTTACTTAACTTTAAGTATTGTATCTGTGAAAGCACTTGATCTAAGAATGAAGTATATAGTACCCGAGTTAAACGTGTGTGGACGCATCATTTTCGAATGCTCGATAATATATATAGTATGTTATTATATATTGGAAAAAAAATATTATATTTCATAATTTTTTTTATTTCTCTTTTCAGTGGTTGCAATTATTCAATTACTTATTTTATCATCAATATTTTTATATTTATTTTTTATTTATTCGAGTTGACGTAATAATTTAATTTATTTGATAATATTGTAAAGACGATTGTAGCATACGATATGATGATAAAATTTTTCAAAAATTTAATAATATTAAAGCTTACTCACCTATTTTAACTATTCTTATTTATGATAAAGTATTTAATAACGAGTAATATACTCGCTAGTCGCGCTTATCGAAGTTATTATTTTATTATTTTTTCTAAATGAGTTATAATTTAGCCCATGGAAAAATGTTTCATGTTACATAATATCTGTTCACATACATAAATAACTATATATACATATATAATGTTAAAAATATAAGGTGATTATTTATCCATCATGAAGTGATAAATTATTTTTATTTAATCCAATTAGGTATATAACATATATTCGTGATTTAGACGTATTTTTAATGAATAAATGTCATTACGCCTTGATATGATGACATTTTTGTGTATGCATCTTTATTTCATCGCTCAATGTAAATCAAGTTATGATCATCATATTTATAGTGATCTTTTTCGTATAAAAAAAATTTATTTTTATATTATATTGTCTAATATATATATTATATATTATATATTTATTTTATATTATATTATGTAGCATATTTATATTGAATTAAGGATTTATGATTGATGTGTGCCATATTCATTATAAATTTTATTTTTGGTTACATTTTTTCCCCAGCCTCACACAAAATCGTTATAGGTATCTATTCTTAATCAACCTAGTTAATGTTTCGTAAATTAGTACATTATTGGTTTGTTATAAAATACAGTACAGGTAGTTTCACCAAGAAAGGTCGTCGTTGAAAAATTCACTCATAGCAAAATGTTGTTATTTCATTGAGCAGATATGAAATTGGTTTCCATCACGTATATAAACGATCGTCTACAGTTTACTCACTTGAAGTGCAGTGCATTTTTTACGTTTCCTAATATGAAATAAAAGCATGAAATGTTAAAAAATAACAGTGTTTGTAATTCATCATCAAACATGTTTAAATATCGACTGAATTATCACAGAAAAACATATTACGTGATTAATACCAAAATGTGTGCTATGATTTCGTTAATAAACAATAATTATTTATGATAGTTTATGCTGATTGATATTAAGGTAAATATATTTATACATTTGTATTAGCCATCTTAGCCATCTTTCGAAATAAAACTGAATACGCGCGGACCACTATCAGCTATCGTAATTCGATATTTTATATGTTGAACTTTTGTAATTGATTCGTTCGGACCTCACGTCTTCACCGTTGAAACGAAGCAGACCGGGGGTATACTGTAGCATAAAAAAAAAATCACAACAGTAATTTAAAAAACAAAGAAAACTGCCATGATTGGTTGGCCACGCAGTACTATAATGTAAAAGCCATAACCGATAGTTTCCCATTGGAATTCCGGCCCTAAGCTCTCACAATACGAATCATTATATACTTTTTATTTTACTTTTATTTTTATTGTTGAAGGCTGATTGCTTAGCGACGCTATTCGCTTCCGCTCTGTTCGTTTTGTCTTTGTTATACATTAATGGAATATCGCGATCCCACGCCAAGGGTGGTGCGTACGATCAAGATAAATCATTTAACGACGACCATGGAAT